TGGCAATTAGTTTGCAAGAAATGTAAGGCAGTGAGTAGGGTGATTATACCGTCGTATAGAGGAATAAACCAATCACAATATGAAGACAATCTAATCACCGGGAGAATTCCAATTACACAAGGGACACAAGATTTTTCTTCCAAGGTTCACGTGCCTGCCGGCACGCTAGTCCCTGTTGTGTCGACCGAAACTTGGTGGTTCGGTGGCTAATAGGTATCACACACCTAGGCAATAAATGGTGCCGCAGGAACCTACCCACCAGTGAGTAGCTTAATGATACGAGCAATTTACTAGAGTTGCCTTTGGCGCTCCGCCAGGGAAGGCACAAGACCCCTCACAATCACCGGGAGACGGCCACGAACAATCACCAACTCATGCCGCTGCTCCAAGCCATCTAGGTGGCGGCAACCACTAAGAGAAACAAGAAATTTGTAGCCACAACGATCCCCAAGTGCCACTAGATGCAATCACTCAAGCAAATGCACTTTGAATCACTCCCAATCTCACTATAATGAAGAATCAATGATGGAAATGAGTGGGAGGTGTTTGCTTGGGCTCATAAGGATGTCAAATATGTCAAAGTGCCAAGAGAGAGAGCCCCAAACTAGACAAAGTCTATTTATAGACCCCCTCAAACAAAGAGTCGTTGCTCTGCACAGGGCTGATCAGACGCAACCCAGCGTCCGGTCGCCCGATGGACACCACACGTCACCTCTTTGAACCGCAGCTACCCGATCTCAACGGTCAAAAGACTTAGCGCCAACGGCTAAGTGATGACCAGACGTGTCGTTAGAAACGACCTGACACCACGCAACGTAGAGTCCGATCGAGTATAGAAACAACACCAAGAGGTTTTTCAATGACTGGATGCGTCCGATCGGCATCGACCTAACGCGCCCAACATCTGGTCCTCACATGGCTCGCTCACGAAGCTTGCGTCAGCGCAGACCTGATGCAACCCCTGCGCGTTCGGTCGCCTAACGTCTCTCGTGTCCGATCGCGCCACCGAGCGACGCTCTCACTGTGCGCCACGACCTGACGCTACGCCGAGTCAGGTCCAACATCCGATCAGGACTTGGTCCTCTCGGCTAGCGCTCGCGCCACCTACGATACACTGACTGGACGCGTCCGGTCAAGCCGAGACCAGTGTCCGGCCACGTGTAGTGATTCTCTTTTCTTTTCCTATCTCCTCAACTGCTTCACCCTTGCTTCCAAGTTGCTAACCACTGTGTGTACAACTCATGTGCTCATATGTTAGCATTTTTCAAAGCATTTTACAAGGGTCAAGGTTAGCACACTAGGTTCCTAAATGCATATGCAAGAATCATGTCACCTTGTGGCAATCGATAACCGCTTAGCCAAAGATTTCACCTATTTATAGTATGGCTATCGATCCTAAACGTGGTCACACTTATAGTGTCTTGATCACCAAAACAAAAACCTATTTTATACCTTTGCCTTGATTTCCTTGGTTTTTGTTTTTCTCTTTCTTTTTTTCCAAGATAGAGCACGTGATCATCTCTTTTGTGGCCATCACCTTCCCCATGATCATCATCTAGCTCTATCACTTGGATTGGACTACCTTATCTAATTCACACACTTAGATCAAAGGTTAGTTCTTGGTTTTATCAATTATCCAAAACCAAACTAGGGCTTTCAACCACTGAATGTGCATGGAGACACTACTACAGATTGACCTATCACCAACGCCACTATCAACGCTGGTATTATTAAAAATGATGGTGATAGCTATCAGCAATGGTTCATAATATGAACCGTTGGTGATGAGAGTATCACCACTGGTTTGCAAGAACGTATGGGTCGATAACTATCACCACGCTTCGTCTTACCAACCAACGGTGATAGTCCATCATCACTGCCGGTTTGCACCACCAGCCAGCGGTGATGATATGCTCCTCATCACTGCCGCCTCACCATATGAACCAGCAGTGAAGATATTTTCACAGCCAGCTCATTGTATGATACGGCGGTGATAACCATATTGCAGTATAAATAAATTTATAACTTTTTTAAAGAAAGTCAGATGAAAACAAACTTTATATCAAAGTTGTACATCTCGACGCAATCGATAACTTTGTAGTTGATGACTTTTTTATTTGAAACCATTTACGGTCCCAGAATTCTGTTTGAAGTGCTCAAATTTTGAAATTCATATTTTTTTGAATTGTACAAACGACCCTAAATGGAAAAATGACCAAAACCAAAGTTGTAGATGACAATGAGATATACAACTTAGTAGTTGACAACTATTTCATTCTAAATCATTTATAGTCTCAAATTTGTATCTGAAGTTTTAAAATTTAAAAAAACAAAATTTTCAAACAACCTCGGATGGAAAGTTGACCAAAACCAAAGTTGTAGATCTCAATGAGAACAACTTTGTAGTTGATGAGTTTTTCATTTGAATCATTTGAGGTCTCAAAAGTTTAGTAGAAGTTTTGATGTTTTGAAATTCAAATTTATTAAACGACCTCGCATGGCAAAAAAACCAAAATCAAAGTTGTAAATCTCGATTAGAACAACAAATTTCTAGTTTATGACTTTTTTATCTAAAGCCGTTTAGGATCCTAAATATTCATTTTAAATCCTGAAAAGTGAATACTAGGGGAATGAATACGCTATATAGACAAAAGTGACTTAGGGGTGGAGTGGTTAGAGGAGAGGGGTTAGAGGAGCTAAGGACAAAGGTCTCAGGTTTAAATCCCAGCACCACCGCATACCATGAAAAACAGCGTGGAGCTGGAGCTGGAGCAGCTTCCTGGTACCATACCATGAAGCTAGAGCTGGTGGGGGGCTTTCCAAGATTGAAACAATTTTTTTTGCTATTTTTTGGCCCGTTTTGGTATTTTTGAAAATTCAAATCACCGTCGGCTGGTAATACGAACCGACTGTTATAAGCTAGTATCACCGCTGGTTGCAAACTACATGTGATGAGAATGTCATCACTGTCGACAGCTTACTGCCGAGACCAAAAAGCGTTTGTGATGGGCTTTACGAACCACTTGTGATAGGTCTGAATGTAGTAGTGATATGTGTGCACATAAGGAGATTGACCTTAACATCGGGTAACCTAACAAATAAGTGGATGCAATTAAAATGCATAGGTTTTCGCCATTAGCTCTAAATGAGGTGTGCAAAATGTGATCAACCAAATTTGTCAAAAAGGAGGTGATCTAAGACTTGTCCATATACAAAATTGACAACACCATTGCGTTCCCTTGTCAAGACGATTGAAAAAACATATATAGAACATTAATTTTAAGTTCGGATGAAGAAATCACGCTCTCAAAAAACCCACCATGCAAAAAAGTATTGTCCAAACTAGCAAACAGTTTTTGCTATCAAAACTGGCCCAAGACAACTTTTGGACCGTAAAATTGGCCCGAGCTGATTTTCGTTGTCCAGTTCGGATTTGGATTGTATTTGACATGATTTACAGGTGATTCTGGCCTCACACAGGATAAGTCCACACACCCTGTATCTATAAAGGGTCACAGCCGATTGAGCAAAGTACAAACCATTAACCAATCTACTTTTTACCTCTCTTTTACTCTTGTCTTTTTCAACCTCCATGTTGTTCATCTCTTGATTCAAGACCAAGGATGACACTCTAAGCATGCTAGTCAACTTAGGGCAACCGGCCAACATCCTCGCCCCGACAGGATCCACCAAAGCATGTAGGACATTCGATGGCTCATTTCCTCAAAATTAGTTGTTTTCGTCGCGTAAGCCCGGTAGCTATCTTTGCTTGTTTGCTCGTAATTTTTTTTTCACTCTTCACTGTGAAAATTTGCTGGTTATCCATTGTGGTGTTCGGTTCCTTGGCGACCCCGCGTGTTCTAAGGCTTTGGGTTGGGACCGAACCACGGGATTTCAGACACCTAGGCATATTTGGAACTTTGTACATCTGGATGCTGGATTTAGTAGATGATAAAGTGGCCATTTATCCTACAGAAAGCGTCCGGTGAAAGCAGGTAGCATAAGTGTGCACTTCAATCACATGCGCAACAATTCTCAAAAAAAAAATCACATGCGCAACACACCATGGCTAAGCAAGCGGCTTTCGGTCATGTTAGACTGTCTCCAATAACGAAACACAAACGCAAAATGCGTCTTCAACAGTGGTTTGCGTCGTCAAAAATGCTGTCCAACGGAAAACCCAAACAGCCGACCGATTTTGCGTACCAGCCGAAGGGAAATAAGCATCTTCAGCAGCTGGACGACGCAAATCTTTGCCGCAAGACGACACAAGAGCTCGAGCGCGAGCTCCGCCAGCGCGGGCGCGAGCTCGGCCGGGCCACGGGGGCGAGCTCCGCCGGGCGCGGGCGCGAGCTCAGCAGGGCGATGGGGGCAAGCTCCGCCGGGCGCGGGCGCGAGCTCCACCGAGGCGCGGGCGTGAGCTCCGCCGACGCGGGCGCCACCGTCCGGATCCGGGAGAGGGAGGGTCGGGGAAGAAGAAGGGGAGGGAGGGGGGCCGGATCCGATCGGGAGAGGGAGGGAAGAAGGCAGGCCGCGTCCGCGGCGGGCGCCGCTTGCTCCGAGCGCCGCGCCAGCACTAGCGCGCGCCGTCGCCCCCACGTCGTCGTCGTCGCCGTCGCCGTCGCCATGCCCTGCACGGCGGCATGGGAGAGAGAGGAAGAGAGAAAGGCAGCCGCGTGAGAGAGAGAGGAAGAGAGGACCGAAGATATTTTGCCTTCGCTGTTGGAGACGGAAAAATTTGGGTAGCCCTTTTTTCCTGTACGTTACCTAAACAGTGAAATTTGGGTCGGCTGGCTCGGTCGGAGATAGCCTTACATTGGCATCGCCATCAAGTGGGCGCCGCTTTGTTCCTTTTCTAACTTTTGCTGGCATGGTTTCCCTTTTACCGCCGCCTCCGTCGCACGTTCGACTTTAAGCTCCACTCACTAGCCATTTGGAACGCAAAGGCCAGAGAGAGCAAACCAGAGCAGACGCCAAAGCAAGCGAGCCAGTCACTAGCCATGCCCATCCACATTGCCAACCTCTCGGCCGTCGTCACGGGCGCGCTCGAAGCGGCCAAGGCCGTTGCCACCGAGATGCTCCCGGCGGCTGTGACGAGGGACGCCATCGTCGAGGCGTCGAGAGCCTCGGTGGCATGGCTCACGAGCCACCTCTGGGCCAGGCTGGCCGTGGCGAGGGCCATCACCGTCGACAACCTCCCGGCGGGCGCCGCGGCCATCCACATTGCCAACCTCTCGGCCGTCGTCACGGGCGCGCTCGAAGCGGCCAAGGCCGTTGCCACCGAGATGCTCCCGGCGGCCGTGACGAGGGACGCCGTCGTCGAGGCGTCGAGAGCCTCGGTGGCATGGCTCACGAGCCACCTCTGGGCCTGGCTGGCCGTGGCGAGGGCCGTCACCGTCGACAACCTCCCGGCGGGCGCCGCGGCCATCCACATTGCCAACCTCTCGGCCGTCGTCACGGGCGCGCTCGAAGCGGCCGTGACGAGGGGCCGTTGCCACCGAGATGCTCCCGGCGGCCGTGACGAGGGACGCCGTCGTCGAGGCGTCGAGAGCCTCGGTGGCATGGCTCACGAGCCACCTCTGGGCCTGGCTGGCCGTGGCGAGGGCCGTCACCGTCGACAACCTCCCGGCGGGCGCCGCGGCGGCGGCGCGCTCCGCGGCCGACGCTTCGGTGCCCTGCGTCCAAACGGCGGCCAAGATCTTCAGCGGCCTCTACGGCTGGCTGGCCGCCGCGGTGGTCCAGAAGCTCCCGGACGTCGCCGCCGAGAAGCTGCTGGGCGGCGTGGCTCGTGCACGGCCGCGGCGGCGGCGTCGCGGTGTACGCGACGCTGGCGCTCGCGCTCCTGGCCGTCGCCTTCCTCGTGGGCGCCGTGTGGGCGTTCACCTGCCGCTCCATGAAGGGGCCCGGGCTCGGCGGAGCGCGCGTGCCCCGCGCCGTGTTCGAGGCCAACCCCAAGCGCTACTACGCCACCGTGCGGACCGCGCGGAAGGCGCAGCGCCGCGCCGGTGGGGCTGGTTGCAAGCTGCTTCTGGTCGGCCTTCTCGTCGCGTTCGCGGCCTACCTTGCTGCAAAGATGCTCTACTAGTGTTAGTATCTCATGGTGCATGCTGCATACCTGCAAATCACGTTGATTGCTAGCTGCAATTGAATTTCAAAGTGTTTTTTTGCCCGCTCTTAACTCGGAGATATACAAATATGCAACTCACAGTTGAGGATACATTGGAGAACTAAGATTGTGTGATTTGTTAGTGCAACCGAAAAGTTGATGCCAATGATAGCTTCTGATGAAAAAGTTCTTTTTCACAAAAAGTATTTTCATATAAAAAATCAGAAAATTAGAGGTAAACTATATGCCCATCGTCCCAATTCCAAAACTTTTCGACACAGAATCTGAGTATTTTGCAAAACTCACTCTGTTCGCTGGTTAGTTTCTGAGCTGATAAATCTAGCGGGTGCTGGTTTATCGTGAGAAAAAAATACTGTATCATAGCTAATAATCCTGCCTCGGATGTCGGCATGTGCAGAAGTTTGCGCTATATTTGTCAGTGTGACCAGAGGCTGTTGTGGCCTCGGGAAAGAGATGATCGTCCATAAGAGAGAGTGAGAAAAAAAGTGATCAGCTTTTACAGACTGTGGTAGAGTTGAATCAGCTTACAGTGGAGAAGTAGTAGTCTCAGCTAACAAGTGCCTACATAGAGCAGAATAATTTTTTAAAGCCTATACTCTTGTTGGTTTGTGTTGGAAGCCTGTATCAGAAAGTTAGAGCTGCATTAGAGCAGCCATCACTACACCACCTTATCCTAGGCGAATGGTTGAATTTGGAGAGCTCCTGCCTACGTATATGCTTACAATTTGGAGAGCTCCTAGGTAAGCGACCTGAGGCCTTGTTTAGATTAAGTTTTTTCACTCTCTTTTCATTACATCAAATTTTTGAACACATGCATGGAGTATTAAATGTAGATAAAAAAATAACTAATTACACAGTTTGATTATAAATTACGAGACGAATCTTTTGAGCCTATTTATGCCATGATTAGACAATAATTGTTAAATACAAACAAAAATGCTACAGTATTAAATACTGATTTCTAACTGCGAACTAAACAAGGCCTGAGTCCTCATGCCTGAATTTTTGAACGCCTAGGGGAGCTCCATGTGCCAAGCAAAACTACCTGGGACCAACCAAAGAGACCGAATTTTTTTAGCTATTTTTTTAAAAAAATCACATTTACATCCCTAGATGACTTATTTACATCTGTAAACCCTACTGGTCGGCGCTATAGGCCATGGCACATGGCGCCGAGATGTGTTACCTCGGAGTCATGGCTCATGGCGCCAATCCTAGGGTCCATATTCGCAATAAGGTCATCCAGGGATATAAACGTGAATATTTTTTGAAAAAGAGTAAAAAGTAAAAAAAAAAGGTCGGCCAAACAGACCCTTACTACTAAAAGCATCACGATATCAGGGTTGAACTAGGCCACTAAAAACTGCTTGTGGAGGTAGTCAAGAGATGCTGGAGAAGGCGAAGGCCGCGGCACCATGGATGGAGCCGAGAGGTTGAAGAGTTTTCGCAAGGCTTAAACTCCATCAGGTTGACAATATGTTGGCAAAAACCATTAATAACATGTATAAGTCACACCACTTAACGCTAGGCTAATCACTTGGCATGATGCATACAAGGCCAAATCTAATATACTAACCTCACCAAGTTCTTTGGTTGTCCTAGTTGCCTGAATCTTTGATGCACTCACTTAATGGCAAGAGCTCTCAAGTCTCAAATGCTAGTAGAGCAGCACTCCTTAGCTCTAGTATCATGTATCCATCAAATGAGCAAGTATGGGGCATTTATGGAGCCGCCTCTAAAAATTACCCATTTGAAACTTTTATTAAAAAATGTTATCACAAGTGGCAGAAGTTGTGAAAATTGTCACCGTTTATGCCAATGGCTAATTACCGTCAGTATGTGGTAATATAATAGCGGTTGTTGATACTTTCCACAACCTTCTCTTAATGGGCACCACTTCTACCTGTGGACCCATATATAATAGTTGAGTTTTTTTTACCTTTGGACACCTCTACCTCACTGTATAAGTATTTTTTGTAAAAAGATAAGCTTTATTACCATAAATTTTAATAGACGCATAATTTTGAAAAAAAAAACATTTTTTTAAAGAAAGGGCACAAAATGGGTAAATGGCCTACAAAATTTAAGGACAGGGCTTCAAAAAGGATAGGGGCCATTTTTGTACATGTTTATGAGCTAATGACTAAGGGATCGTTGATTGCTTGCCCAAGCAAGTTTGTCTAGCCAGGCAACAATCCAGACCATTGATTTTGAAAGATTGATGGCCAAAATTTGTTGCCTTTGTCAGGATAGCAACAAAACAGTCCCTAAAAGGGTGTTTGGATGCCAAATAGGATAGCTACATGGGCTAGTTATAAACTAAAAAGACCTACTGGGCTAATAATTAATGATTAGAACCCATTAGCTCTTGTTAGCCTATAATTAGCCTATAGTCTATTACCACGCGATGGGCTAATTTTCAACCCTAGAACCAAACACCCCTTAGGGCAGTCCCATAGACACCATATAGAAGCCATGGTCCCAAGGGATAGTTTCTACAGAATAATTTTTTATCCAATCACGTATATTCTCTCTTCATTCTCTGCCAATCACATCTCTTCATGTCTTGGTTCTCGTATAGACATGGTTTTTAACTTAGACCCGGTTTCTATGATTTTTGCTCTCTCTTCAATAACTACCTTACTACATCAGCAAAACACTTAGTTGACAGTACAATTAATGTCCATAGAAACTATGATGGTTTCTACATTGGGAGTGCCCTTATTAAGTTGGGTTATGAAAGGCTATAAGGGTGTCCGCAATGGTGCTATCTACGTAGCCAGTTTACATGGAGGTGAGAGACTAAAGCAAATATTATTTTATACATTCTTATTTTTCTATGTATTATTGGACACACATGGTCCTCTCTCAGATTATTGGACTACGTGAAATAGATCAGTTATTTGTTCGTCGCTAGTGATTACTCTCTCTCTCCTACTTTTTTTTCTGTCCACGTCAAATAGCTAGTTGTTGAGAACACCCTAAGGCCATGGCCCATTACCACCCCTAGGCCCTATGCACAATGCAAACTACCGCAACCGTGGCAGGTCAAACGCCACAAGCCCACGACAACACCCCAACGGATCGGCCTCCACATGGCAAAAAGGCAGACTACTAAACGGACTACTAATGCAAGCAACAAACAACATCATTGTTTTGAACGATATTTTGCAGCACATAAATGTTGTAATCCAAACTCTAGTGTTTATGCTACTTATTTGCCAGCTCATTGCTTGCATCATTGCGATAAAATTTACACTTTCATATGGCCGTGGTCTGCTGCACTATTTCAACGAAACGAACAGGGCTATAAACACTGTTGTGAATTAAATTTTGTAGTATTCTTCCGTCTCAATGCGGCTAGTCCTTATATATAGTAGGATAATAATAGTAATCAATATATCGAAAAGCCCTATCATAAAGACTTGGGCATTTGATGGATACTTGAGCTAAGGAGTGCTGTTACTAACAACTGAGAATCGGCGCTGGAATGCAACTCTAATGAGGAATTGTCACTAGAACGGTGGGATGGATCTCTTAGAATGAAGAATCAGCACCGGAATGGAAGGAATAAAATCGGAAATCGGAACGAAGAATCGGTTGATGGACGAAGAAAATGACCTCTTTTAATATTAGAGATAGATAGATAATTTTATTAGATATACTATGAAATGTATTTTTCATAATTTACATCTTTGATGTGATACTATAATTTTGTATAAATTTAGTCAAACTTAAGATGGCTTGACTTTAGATAACTAAAAAAATACATTACATTGATATTATAAGTTAAGGCTATTCCAGATCCCTTGCCCAAAAAAAACTATAGCTTTAGTGTTCATTCATTTGGTATTTTCCTATTAGCGTTCATACCCTGACGTGCATCTCAGAAATTGCACCTAGCTGGTGTTTGTTAATTGGGCTTGCAATCTTATGCTCTTATAAATTTAAGGGGGCTTGGATTGGGCACAACGGACCGTAGCCTTCCCGACATGGCCCAGTCCACCTTCAACACCACGGAGCGCAGGTTGCAGCAGCATGATAACATCGGGCAGTTTTGGCCCAACCGTATAATAGTGTCGAGCTTCATATTCCCAAAATATAATCTAGCTTTGATAAAAAAAATAATAATCTAGCTGTCGTATATCTTCTTAAGGCCTGTTTGGCTTTAGAATGGATTAGGATGAATATTTGTTAATTTTTCATCCTAATAATATGGATTGAGATGGATACAAGTGAAACTAAATAAAATGAAAAAAAGGCAATATGCCATCAATGGCGGTATAATTAAGAGCACAATCATCTTCTGAGTTAATCATGCAATAAGTTACTCTGCATACCTTGTCAGTAATAAAAGTCATGACAGACCGAAAGGAATCAATAGCTAGCCCCCCTTTGAATTCTGGAAGTTTTTTTTTCTTGAATCCTGTATTTTCCAAAACGAATTAATTCTTGTGAAATTCTTATATAATTTCTGTAAATTTTCTTTTTTAAGAAAACAGAAAATACTGGCCTCTGCGGCCACATACAGCCAAGTATTACATTCTGTAAAATTTCTATGTTCCAAAAAGGCATATAGTGTGATTTATGACGTTTACACCATAAAAATCTCTTAAGAAAAGACCATGAAGACCATTTTTAGGGATAGGATGAACATAATGTATTTTTATATATATCATTATGATTGGATGTTAAAAGTCTTGACATTGACAGAATAATACAAGTTGCACGGAAGTGCATGGGCTTTCCTGTGGGCTGAGGGCTGTGGCCAGTGGTCACACTCTACAAGTCAAGCAGATACCGAAGTAGTGGCGCGGAGCTAAATTCTGCCCTCAGTAGATAGAAAGAGACGTGGTGAAACTAGTAAGTACTCCGTATTACCCTGGCATTGTCCACCGTTAATTAATCTCAACTAACCTCCCACCCCCCAGCACTTTGGTTGTTCCGCGGAAAGAGAA